GAGTGTCTTGAATTAGAAAACAATGGATTTTTTGCTTCGGCCACAAATTCCCCCAGGTGTAAGCCTTCCAACCTTCTAAATATTCCTTTATATGTAGTTCAGAGTTCTGGGACCATCCCCTGAGCCTGCTTGGTCGGGTATTCTGTGTTATTGCTGGCGGGGCTCCTTTACTGCACTTTCACCTAATCTGCCTTCTTGTTTGTTCCTCCCTTTTAACTTCTTACATGTACAATTCAGTGACATTAATTATATTTATCATGTTGTATAACCATCACAGCTATCCATGTCCACATTTTTTTATCACTCCAAATAGAAATCTATTCTCATTAAGCAGTACTATCCCATTTTTTCTTCTCACCCCAGTAACCACTATAAATTAAATCTCTATGCACTTGAGTGTGCTACACAGTTCATGTCAGTGGGATCATACAGTATATGCTCTTTTGTGTCTGACTTACTTCGCTGAGCCAAATGTTTTCAAGGTTCATACATGTTGTAGCATGTACCATGAATTCATTTCTCTTTATGACTGAGTAATATTTATACTGTCATGGGGGTGTCTGCATTTTATTTACACCTTGGCATTCTTGTCCTCCAAAGTTGTTTCTTTTTGCTCTGGAAATGAGAGCAGCAGATGTGGGTCAAGTCAGAAATCTGCCCCTGGAGAGGGACAGAAGATCTAATGAGATGAAAATTGATGGCAGGAGTGGTGAGAATGCCCAGCCACTTTTAGAATGTGGTGTGCGTCTATGTTTAATTAATTAATTAATTCTTTTTTTTTTTTTTTTTAAAAGTCTTGTCTGCCATGAGTTTCAGATGAGTTGCCCCACTGGATACTCTTTGCTTCCCTAATTTTGTGTGTTCTGGAAGTGTGTGCTGATTGACATGGGCTTGTCCAGAAAGTTCTGTTGTTGGGAGGGGGGATCAGTGTTCCTTGGTTCTCCTTTGGTTGAAGAAGTGTGTTTCAGACCATGGGTATTTCATGTTCTGACTCCCCTTGCATGTTTCCTCTCTCTAGTGGGTATACAACAAATGGTTCACACAGTAAATAAGGTTCTCCTTTCACAGGGGATTGTCCAGGTGGGCTGTGATCAGGGCATTTAAAACTAAGAATGGGAAATGATTTGTTAAAATAAACTTGAATGCGTTGTTTATTTGCTTTCTTAATAATTCTTTCAAGGGAAGACTACAGTGACTAATGTAGTTATCATTAGGCAGAATATTGTAGTAAATATTCATAACTAACAGTTTTAGTTGTGAAATCTTTTAGAAGCTCTTTGGAAATGTAAATTGTAGTTTTTCTCTTTTATACCTTCCCATCCCATTCTAAAAGAAATTTAAGTTCCTCATCAAGCGTTAAGAAAACATGGCTATGGACAAAGAGAAGTCAGGTCTGCTCTTTGCTGTGGCCAGTTACAGAATTTTAGAGTTTTGTGCCTTTTTCTTATAGATACTTCTTTTTGTTTCTGCAAAATACATTTCTCTACAAACATTTCTGGCGATAAGAGCAGTGAGTTATGGGTGGTTTTCCTTTTTCAGATCTTGAGAGTCAGACCTTGAAAGAACACTTAATTGATGAACTGGATTATGTATTGGTTCCAACTGAGGCCTGGAATAAATTACTAAACTGGTATGGCTGTATTGAAGGCCAGCAGCCCATCGTCAGAAAAGTGAGTATGTGAATTATTACTGTGGACATTGACTGGTGTTCCTTTCCTGAGTAACGGGATGGATGTAAGTGGTTGAATGAAGATGTGTGAGACCTAGTTTTGGATCTCCTTATGGAGTTATGGTTGTGATGGTGAGTGAGACTGCTTACCCAGCTTGTTATAGCGCTTAATGCTGCCTAGTAGCATGTGGTGTGTCCAGTGGTGCCATGAGAACACTTTCTGGAAGGGTCTGTGGGATAAAGTTCACATGGGGTATATGGATATAGAATAATGTACTGCTGTGTATTTATCTTGAACTTTTCTGGCACTGATTTCCCCTTATGGTTAAGAGTCCTTGGCCATACTGTTGCGTAACTAACTCAAAAGGCAGGCATTCAGAGATGATTAGCCTCTTGAAGGAAATCTGGTCCTCGGACAGAAACCCCCGTGGTAGCCAGGATTCATAGAGACCACTGGTGTGACTCCCACAGTTATTCTGCTTATTTCATCATGGTAGTGTAGTGGTTATGAATCAGGCTGCGAACCGCAAGGTCAGCAATTCGAAACTGCCAGCTGTTCCCGCAGGAGAAAGATGAGGCTTTCTGCTCCCGTAAAGATTTACAGCCTCGGAAACTCTGTGCAGGGTCGCTATGAGTTGGAACCGACTCCGCGGCACATAACCAACCAACCGTACACCTGGTATCTAGACCTTGGGTAAATTTCTCACTCAGCTAAGTATGCGGTTCCCCCGCTTACATAATAGTACAAAGCTGCAGTCCAGATACCATGCTCCCGAGTGTTGCTTATTCAGGGTCAGTGCTACCTTTTTCTCCTGCTTGCAAACTGAGTCCCTGAGAAGGTTAAGAGTTCACAAGGTTAGGGGGCATGCAAGCCTTCTGCAGATACCCCTTAAGTGCCAACAATGCTGCCTTGTCGAGAGCACTCTGTCCAGAGCTTTACCTTTATGTTCTAGTCCTCTAATCAGTGAACCCTGTGAGGCATCATGATTCCCAGGTCTCCAGGATGAACTGCGGCATCCCTATTATTGTTTAGTGTCTGATATTGTTGTTAGCTGTCATTGAGTTGTTTGACTCATTGTGAGCCAATATCCAATAGAATGAAACTGCCCAGTTCTGCATCAGTCTCAGAATTGTTAGGTTTGCGCCCATTGTTGCTGCCATTATGTCAGTCCCATCTCCTTGGGATATTTTTCTCGTTTTTTAAATAACTTTTTTGAGTCTTCACTTTATCAATAGTATAATGCAAATGCATTGATTTTTCTTTGGGTCTTTTTTATTTATTGTCCCAACTTTGGATCATATGAGACGATTGAAAATACAATGGCTTGGTTGTGTCAAGCATACCTGAGTCCTCAAAGTGACTGTTTTCCTCTTTAACACTTTAAAGAGCTTGTTTGCAGCAGATTTGCCTAATGTTATTTGATTTCTGGACAGCTGCTTCTGTGAAAGTTGATTATAGATCCAAGTATAATGAAATCTTTGACAGCTTCAATCTTTTCGCTGTTTATCATGATGTTATTTATTGGTCCAGATGAAGATTTTTATTTTCTTTACATTGAGGTTTAATCCATACTGAAGGTTGCAGTCTTTGATCTTCATCAGTATTTCAGGTGCTCTTTACCTCCAGTAAGCAAGGTTGTGTTATCTGCATATTGCAGGTTGATGTGTTTTCCTCCAGTCTTGATTCTATTTTCTTCTTCAGATAGTCCAGCTTTTCTGATTATTTGTTGAGCATACAGCATACTTGAGTAAGTATGGGGAAAGAACACAACCTGACACACACCTTTTCCTTATTTAAAACCATTCAGTATCTCCTGTTCTGATGACTGTCTCTTGGGTTTATATACAGGTTCCTCATGAGCACAATGAAGTGTTGTAGATAGTCATTTTTCACAATGTTATCCACAGCTTGTTATGATCCACACAGTTGAATGTATTTGCACAAGTAAACATCTTTCTTGTAGTTTCTGCTTTCAGTAAAGATCCATCTGTTGCGCCTCATTCTACATTCTCTTTTGAATCCTGCTGTAATTTTTGGCAGCTCCTTGTCAGTGTACTAATACAGCCATTTTTTAATTATCTTCAGTAAATTTTACTTGCATGTAATATTAATGATATTGTTTGGTGATTTCTGCGTTCTGTTGAGTTACTGTCTTTGGAATGGGCATAAATACGGATCTCTTCCAGTTAGTTGACCAGGTTGCTGTCTTCTAAATTTCTTGGCATTCGTGAGTGAGGGCCTCCAGTGCTGTATTCATTTATTCACATATTTCACTTTGTTTTCTGTTATTTCATGGAGCTTTGTTTTTCGACAGTAGCTTCAATGCAGTGTGTATGTTTTTGTTCAGTGCTAACCAGTTCTTGATTATGTGGAACTTCTTGAAATGGCTGAATTACAAACCAGTTCTTTCTAATGCAGTTACTTTGTGTTTTTCTTCCATCTTCTTTTGTTGCTGCCTGCTTCGTTCAGTATTTTGCTCATAGAATCCTTTAATATTCCAAATCAGGGCTTGAATTTTTTTCTCTTCTTTCCGTTTGAGAAAACCCTTTTGGTTTTCTGATGTTAAGCTCTAGCTAATAGGCAAGTGTAGTTCCTTTTTTCTAATCATTATTTCTCAATTAATGAGTTAATTGGCTTTCATACTTTGGGTGATTACCATTATCTGGGTGGCTGTCCCAGTGCTCTATTATAGATGTGAAAAGTAATTCTTCATAGTTAGGGATGTATGTTAAGGAGAAAGAGTGGTTGATAAGAGTTTATTTGTGCTGTGTCTGAAACAAGACCTTCCTCTCCAAAGCTAACTTCTTGGAAACTTTTCTGGAGACGCTGATATAGCAGCTCTGCATTAAAACCTCTGAGGAATGGGCCTCGCTCTGTTTCCATCAAGGGCACAGGATGTTCTTGGTTGGTCCTAATGAGTGGAAAAGATTTTTAAACACTTGGGACAGAAGCTTTTGAATCTGGAGGACTTTTTAAATCTGTAGGAAACTGGTTATGATGTGGTTTTTGCCTTTTGCTACTGCTGAGGCTTGTTGCTTCCAAGACTGCTCAGGTGTGAAACCACCTGATGTTGCCCCTTCACCCATACTTATTGTCTTCAGGTTGTCGAGCATGGCCTCTTTGTCAAACACTGTAAAGTAGAGGTATATTTACTGGAACTGAAGCTCTGTGAGAACAGCGATCCCACCAATGTGTTGAGTTGCCATTTCAGCAAGGCAGACACCATCGGTGAGTAGTTGGGCTCGGGTCCCAGGTGTGGTGAGAGCGCAGGGGATGCACTGATGGCAGGGTGGGGTGGAGGTGCTTCATGATCTTCACATCATCAGGCACATAATACCGAGCTGTGGTTCCCACCATTGGGGTTGTCTTGGTAAGGCATTCCTGGGAATCGTGTTCTGTAAAACACTGGGAATGCGCCCTGCCCATTTGAAGCATGGTAATAAATAAATGATGAAATGCAGATCAGCGAGGCTAATCTCTTTCAGAATCTTAGAATGCAGCAGGGTTGGCACTTGAAACCAAATCTGTCTTAACACCAAAGACAAGTTTTCACACTTTTCCATGTTGCTTCTGTGCAATAAATGTGACCCACATCATCAGAGAAAGATACAAAGAGGAAGGAAGCATATTGAGCTTGTGAGAACAATAGGGTGTCCATGGAAGAAAATGGCCCTTAGAGGTAGCCAAGGGTTGATGTCACACAGAACTTTTGATCAGAGTATTTTCTGAACACCTGAAAAGGAAGGTTGAGTGTTAGTTAGCCATGGCTTTCTTTAGCCGTAAATCTAGAGAAAGCCCAGAATGTTGTTTTTGCCTGTTTCCAGCAACCATTGAGAAGGAGATGCGGAAACTGTTCAACATCCCTGCGGAGCGTGAGACGCGGCTTTGGAACAAATACATGAGTAACACCTACGAGCAGTTGAGCAAGTTGGACAACACTGTCCAGGATGCTGGGCTGTACCAGGGTCAGGTAGGAGGGCCCAGGCCATACCCCAGCAGATAGCTCTGCCCAGAGAATATAGCCAGGTACTTTCTGGTTTTAAGCACGTGGGAGAAGGATAGCTTACTCTTTTCTCATTTGCTTCCTTCTTTCACTCAGGTGCTAGTAATTGAGCCCCAGAATGAAGATGGTACATGGCCCAGGCAGACGCTGCCGTCAAAGTAAGTAAACTTTTCCTCCCTATGGTGGAGCACCTTTTCCTAAGGCAGTTGTTTTTGCTAAGAAAAATTGTTCTGAATAAGATGAAAAAACTGTATCTTGCATGAAGGTCCTGTTCTTTGGTAAACAACTTAACCTGGCACTCACCTAAAGGAAACATGTCAGGGTATCTCAGCATTAGATGAGAATGAGAGTCAAAGGAATAGAAAGGACTGGGATCTGTGAATGTTTCCTTGGCAAGAGGTGGCTTTGTTTTTGTCAAACTCTTTTTCTCCACCTAGAGTAAGAGGCTTAGATTTCTGGTGTGGCACTGTAGGATCAGCACTGGACTGTGAACCGCAACATCAGCAGTTAAAACCCTTGGAAACCCTATGCAGGGTTGCTATGAGTCGGAATTGACTCAACGGCACTTAACAATAACAACAACATAGTAAGAAGTTTAGCTATAAAAGAAAGTTGTGTCATATGGCTTACATATAATAGTTTGATCTTATCCCAGTCTCCCAGTGGCCTGTGACTTTGTCGTTGTTCCTCTTGAACTGTGTTGGGGGAATTAGTCTGCTACTGAACTTGGACTCCAGGCACATCTATCTCATAAGATGCTTATGTGGTGTGTGGAAGTGATCCTGTTTTTAGGAGAGGAAAGAAAGCAATGGATTTTTTTTGTGGTGTAATATGGGGAAATTATATCTGTGTTCTGATAGTTTTGGGACAGTGGTAATCTGTTCTTCAGTTGGGCCTTAAGACAATGACAGTTACACATTGATGGCCTCACAGCTCCTCTGGGAACCATGAAAAGCCACAAGCCTTGAGAAGTAACCATAAAGACACAGAGCATTTTGCAAAGAAATTCAGCGGTTCTGCAGACCCCCTGATGCATAACATGGTCTTCAGGCTAAGAACCCCTGCTTGCCCATTTCTGAAAAGGTGACATAATTGTGATAAACAAAATAGTGACTTCTAAAAATGTCACTATTTTTGGAATCTTTGGAATCTTACGTGGGCTGTTGTTACCTTACATAGCAAAAGGAACTTTGCAGTTGTCACTAGGTTAAGGATCTTGAGATGGGGAGATTATTTTGAATTAGCTAGGTGAGCCAGGCTTCAGAAAATTCATGACAAAATGGAATTAAAAGATGATGAAGTCTTTCCACAAACTTTTTGAAGTCCCTGGTAATCACAAGGGCCTTTTGTAATTGGAAGATAGAGGCAGGCAAGTCAGGAGATGTGAAGACCGATGCAGTTAGAAAGATGCAATATGTGAAAGATTGGTGTGGCCATAAGCCCAGGAATGTGGGCAGCTGTGCTAACAGTTTGATTGTAGCTTCTGACAATCATTTTGAACTTCTAACCTCAAATAAGATACTAAATTTGTGTTTTAAGCTACTAAGATTGTAGTAGTTTCCCCTCCCCCCTCCCTTTTTTTTTTAGGTGAAAGTTTCACAGTGAGTTAGGTTCCCACTGGTTGTAATTTTTACAGTGTCATTTTTCCTATTATTTCCAATTTGTTCTGTGGTAATTTTTGACAACGGCATTAGGAAACTAATATACTCTCCTAGGCTACTACCACTGCTTGGAGTTGGAGATGCCACAAAACTGAGAGAAAATGATGTAAACATGAGAATCCCCTGAGGAAACAGAAGGTGGTTGGATAACAATTTGAGGTGTGGTTGACAGCTCGCATTTGAAAGACTTGAAAGTGTTCAAATCAAGGGACAATTTTCTTTTCTCAGTATTATTTCTCTCCATCCCTTCTACACCCTAAGGCCTAAGGCTTACTGTACCTAGGAAGTGTAAGTAGTCTGGTGAAGTACGACAATGGGGGGTGAGCTCAGAGTGAAATTCCTGAGGCACTTTCCATCTCCATAGTGTCAGGTACTGTCTAGATGCTGAGAAAGAATATAGCAGTAAGCAAAGTGAAGTCTGTTCTCAAGGAGCAGAAAATAAACAGATAAGTAAGAAAAATACATAATGAGGGGACTTAAGTAAGTTTATGGAAAAGTGAATTTAAAAGAGTGAAAATTTTCCATTAACTTTTTGTGGTGGTAGTGTATTTAAGTGATGATTGTTTGTTGGTGTCTTCTTAGATTACCACAAACTTTTTAAAACCCCTTAGGTGTTCAGTGGTGAAAAGTCAGGGAAAAGAATTAGCAAGTCCTAGGCTTCGTACAGGGTTTGAACCGACTCCACGGCACATAACAACAGCAAGGCTTTGGAGAGGGACAGATTTAAAGGGATGGTGGGAAAGGCCCCTCTGAGGTGTCCTTTAAACATGGTCATGAGGAACGTAAGGGAGTCAGCAGTGACTGTGGTACTTAATTTGGGAAATAACGTTAAGAGAGAAGTGACAGCAGGTATAAAATTCCTGGCACAGAAGCAAGCATGGGTTGAAGACCAGTAGGAGTCTGGTGGCTGGAGTTTTCAGAAGGGTGAGGCCTCTGAGGTGGTAGGTTCTTTGATTCTTTTGAGACTGACTTTGCCCCTGGATAGAGTGGGGAGCCTCTTGGATAGGGCAGGGCTGTGGGGTGTACATGTGAATGGAGAAATGGTGCCATCTCACTTGGTGAATAGCTCACTAGTAACTATAACATAAAGCTGATGAGTAAAGCTATAAAAAGAAGAATGACAAGTGAACAGCCTGTGCTACTTGGAACAGAATTCATGTTCTAGGCAGCATAAGAAGTTGAAATAAGAATAATAAATATCCTTGGGGAAAGTAGGAAATGATTACACAAAGCAGGAAGAAGTAGAGAAAGAATGAATTCTGGGATGGTTTTAGAAGAGTAGACTGAATGAACATGATTTTTGTACATCTCTAGGTAATAAATACTTCAATAAAAAAATTGAACAATAAAAGGTTATAAAAAGCAACTTATACTTACCAATATCCAGAAATAAATTCTTGGTCATCTCAACATGGTAGGTAGATGAGGAGACAAGTGGTGAACAGCAGAAAAAAATGAGAATGTGCTGAACTCTTTCTCTTGGGGGGAAAACATATGTAGTTGTAAATTCTAGTAATTGATGAGGGAAAATAAAAATCGTTGTCGATTCTAATACATCAATGGAGATCTCTTTGGCCAGCTTGTATGAACACACGTGACTTTAAGGGAGGTTTGTTGTTGGTTACCATTGAGTTGGTTCTGATTCATAGCAACCTCATGTGCAACAGAATCAAACACTGCTGGTCCTGCACCATCCTCACATTCACCGTTAAACTTGAACCCATTGCTGCTTCCACTATGTCAGTCCATCTCGTTGGGGGTCTTGCTCTTTTTTGCTTACCCTCCACTTTATCTATCATGATGCCCTTCTCCAGGGACTGGTCCCTCCTAATATTATGTCCAAAGAATGAGAGACAAAGTTTGCACATTCTGGCTTCTTAGGAGCATTCTGCTTGTACTTCCAACACAGATTTGTTTGGGGCTTTTTTTGGCAGCCTATGGTACTTTTACTATTCTTTAACACCATAACTCAAATGCACCAATTTTTGTTTGGTCTTCCTTAGTCATTGTCCAACTTCCACATGCATATGAGCAATTGAAAATATCATAGTTTGGGTCAGGAGCACCTTAGTACTCAAAATGACATCTTTGCTCTTCAATGGTTGAATTTAGTGCAGCAGATTTTCCTAATATAGTATGTCGTTTGATTTCTTGACTGCTGGTTCCATGAGTATTGATAGTGGAACCAAGTAAAATTAAGTTTTTGACAACTTCAATCTTTTGTACATTTATCATGATGTTATTTATTGGTTCATTGGTGAGGATTTTTGTTTTGTTTGTATTGTGGTGCCACCCATACTGAAGACTTTGGTGTTTGATCTTCATAAGTAAGTATTTTAAGTCTTCTTCATTTATAAGGTTGTATCATCTGCATATTGCTCGTTGTTAACCTAGGAAATGCATTTTAGCAGGAATTAGGTTATTAAGCTGAAGAAGAAGAGTAAGAGAATAACTATTAGGAGGAAACCAGCAAACTGTCCTCCTTGCAAAAGGAAATTCAATGGAAGACAAGACAGAAGGAATAAAGAAACAAGTAAAAAGTATAATTAGAAAATAGGAAATATGAAAAACTGAATTAAGTCTAGATATAATAATAATTCTGTGAGAAAGTCCTCGTGAACTGCTACGCAAAGATTGCAGCTTAGAAAACACAGTGAGGCAGTTAGTCCCACTCTGTCACATAGAGTTGCTATGAGTCTAAATCAACTAAATGACATCTAACAGCAACAACAATATAACAATAATTAGGATAGCTAACGATGGTTTAAACTCTTTAATCAATAGATAAAAACTTGTAGATACGATGTTTAAAAGCCAGGCATGCTCAGTAATCCATCCTCTATTGACAGAGGTTGAAATTGAAGGAATGGAAAAAATAACAGCCTTAATTTGTTATCTGGGAAAAGCTGCTAGCTGGCTTAATACTTGAAAACATTTAAAAAAAAAAAAAATTTTTTTTTTAAAAACATTGAATAATTTTCCATATTTCCTGGTGGGAGGACAGTATAGTAAAATTGTTTTCTTTGATGGATTTCTTGGTTGATTCTGGTGGTGGTGGTGGTTATGTGCCGTGGCGTCGGTTCCGACTCATAGTGACCCTGTACAGGGTTTTCCGAGTCTGTAAATCTTAACGGGAATAGAAAGCCTCATCTTTCTCCCGCGGAACAGCTGGTAGTTTCCAACTGCTTACCTTAAGGTTCACAGCCCAAGTCATAACCACTACGCTTGCAGAGTGCTTTTGGTTGATTATGCATAACCTTTTTTTTCACTGAGGACCACCTTGTAAGTTCCTGCATATTTTCAGATAGTTCTTTTTTACTTGTGGATGACTCCAATCTTTGTGTTGGTGCTTCTAAAGGATTTCTGTAGACCTGACTTGTTTTCCTTCTCTTTATATTCACTCACCTGAGGCTTTTTTAAGGTCAAGTTATCCCTACACTTTGTTCTCCTTCCAAGACTGCGTTTTACCTGTTTACATTGAGTAGAGGAGCAGACAG